CCATGGGAGACCCTACCAGGGGGCAAAAGCCCCCAGACAACATAGGCCCTGGGATTCCTGGGAGACACAAACCCCTTAGGTAGTGATTCGCGGAGGGGTTACTCCACAATTCATTTCACATTTTCTTTTATGTGAAAAGAAAATGATCCCTTTACTCTGCAGGCCTCCGAACCGCTGCCATTGTTTTTGCCCTTTTCAGCTAATTATCCTGGTCCTCTGTCCTGTTCGCTCTCTGCCCTGTCACAACTAGTGGACAGAAAACGTTAGCTCATGAATGCAGGGAAACATTTATTCTAACAAATGAGTTAATATTCCCAAGTAGCCAAAACAAAGTTACTTTACTTCAGCTTTCAACAAATGCTCTTTAACAAGACCTTCCATTTTAGAGTGAAATGTTTCTACTGAAAGCACTTTAGCCACTTCAGATTCAAAAGAACACTTCCTATGGTTGAGGACATGGTTATTTTCTGCTTTCATAAACGCCATAAAATTCTCGATCAAAGTGAGAGTTTATGTTTGCTGCATGAGAAGACTCCAACCACACACCCAGTGAGGAATCATTCTTGACCTTCTTTGCGTGACCCCCGCCTCTGTCCCTGACACGAGTAAGCAGAGAGCTTTGACATTTACTGCTCTTTGTCAATAGGTCATGATGAAAGCACAGACACACAAAGGCTGCTTTGCATGGACATTTATTGATCTGACTGTCTTGTGGTTAGCTGTACAGATAGATGATAGGCGCAGGAGGAGGAAAAGGCTGAGCTGTTTTCCAGGAAGTACAACAAAGGCTGTTTTTGTGAGGCGCTCTTGTGTGCCCATCCATCTACTGCTGTCTGTTCAACTCGGTAAAGACGGCAGAGTAATTCACTTAGCTTGCACTGTGCATGGCTATTATCTCTGGATGGTGTGTCTGTCTGCGGGTGTTCTGCTGTGATATCATTACACCACTCACTTAAGTATATATCACAACTGATTGATATTGCTGTCTGGCAATAATTGCTAAATTGCTGACCTTTTT